ATTAGTATTTTTCAGTTGTTTACGTACATGAACACTTCACATTCAACACAACATCATAAAAAACCTTAGATTGGGCATTTCTCCATTTCACCTTTTTCCCATCTGGTTTATCTCCTTCTTTATTTTCTGTTGCTGTCTTTTGTCCTGAACGTCGTCCATTTCATCCACTTTTCTTCCATTAGAGTTTGCTGAAGTCTCGAACAATGTGTCCGTTTTTCCATAATGTAGATTTTTTTCTATTATTCCACTCCATTGTTCCTGACAAGGGGGGTCAGCCATTCCCCATTTCCACGTAATAGCTTTCTTATTAGCTATTAACATTATCTAAATCAGATTTCTCTTTTTTACCCAAACTTTGCTGTTATTGTAATTGCAAAGGTTTAGTACCACAAAATTCATAGAAATATCATATCCCAGAATATTTTTCAGTTTCATTAACATTTTTCCAAAATTTTAGGTTCCAAAATGTGACTACTAAAACATTTTAGAGTTGGCCTAGTGTTTAGAGAAGAGCGTACCTGTTTCGGTTGCCACAGCCCACACTCTGGGTTCCTGAGTAAGACCTTTAACCCCACACTGCTCCCTGGGCGTCGCACAATGGCAGCCCAGCGCTTAAATGCAGGGTTAATTTCTCCGTTGTGAGATCAATGAAGTTCAGTTTCTTTTCTATTTCTTTTCTATTACTGAACTGTGGTGAAACAGTTTAATAATTGAACTTTATTAATCTCATATTGGAAAAATTTACTCTCTGCAGCTTGTGGGAGTGGGGCTTCCAAGCTTTATGCCCCTAACCACTAGCCTCGTGAGACCATCCTGATCTCGCGAGCTTTCAAGGTTTCACTCGCAGATCAGTCTGGAGACTCTCCGTTGAAGAAAATTTGGATCCGTTCACCAAACGAACGTCCAATCAGCGTTGGCTTTGAGGCGGGTTGAGGTGTGACGCAACGAGAAGCGCGACAGTTCAGTCTAAAGAACATGGCTGCTTCAGCCGATGAAACTAGCGTTAGCTTGGCTATCGAGCAAGTTTTATCGAAAATTGGTTTATTTGGCCCGTCTATCACCAACATAGGCCAATCAGCTAACCAGTATTTTCGCCCCTTCCCAAAATTACTTCAACAGAAGGTTTCCAGATGGATATGCGGAGCAAATCCATCTGGCGGAGTCAGGTTACCTAACCACTAGGCCACTACTATATATAAATACTTTCATTAAGTAAATGTTAAAACGTACCTGCAAAAAATACTAAATGTTATATATTGGTATTTAAGGTTTTACCACAAATCTAAAAATCAGATTATTATTAAGACATTGTTCACTGGCTTTGGCCCAGTTAATTAAAAAAATTATTTTAAAAATATAGTTTTATAACTCATCAAAGCAAATAAAGTCAAACTGCTCTTATATAACTAATGAGCAGAACAGAGCAGCTCAGCAACCGGAGCGTGGAGCCTGCAGAGCGTCAGAACTCACTGTGGAATCAAATATCATCTCATTAAACTGCAGCTCTTCTCTCTGACATCACATCACTGCAAAAAAATTTAAATCTGATTAAGTAATTTTTGCTTAAAATAAGGGTTTTTAGCTTGAATTGAGCAGTGAGACACTTTGCCAATAGAACAAGATAATTTATATTTAAAACAAGAAAAAACTATTGCGGTGTCCTATTTTAAGTGCATAATATCTAATTATCTTACTTTAGGAGTAAATATACTCATTCCATTGGCAAATCATCTTATTTACCTACTGAAATTAAGGGTAAATACACTTAATTTTAGAATTTTTTTTACTAATTTCTAGATTGTTTTTCCAGTGCATGATGGTGGTTTTTCAGCCCTACTGTGGGAACTCTACTTCCTCTTCCACCAGACTCCCATCAGGAAAGGAGAAACTCCAGCATTCCAGCTGGACGTCACGTTGCACATGGTGAAAACTCCGGGGCTGCGGTCAAACTTTGCTATAAAATGGCTAAATCCTACCCTTGGAAGAAGCCTTGAGCTAAAAACTCAGCACCACCTGTTGGTGGTAAAAGGGGACTGTAAGCTCCGCCCATCGATGGACTGAAACGGCACCTGCTTTCATCCTGGCCTGACCTTTTTTAATCGAGCTGCTACACATGAATTACCTTTAATTGAATAAATTAACTTTGACCTCTAGTTATAGTTAATTAATAAATTCATAATCAAAACAGAGCATTTGCTTAGCAACCCTTAAAATGAACAAGTTGGGTGAGCTTTTTAATGCTGGAAACGTGTTCAGTGTGAATTTAGAGGGGTTGGCTTTTTACTCCAATGTCTGCAGCTTTTTGCACCTTTTTACTACTCTACTTTTTCCTTCCACTCAACTTTCCATTATGAGCTCTCACACCATAACAGGTCTCTTTAGCAGGGATGAGTCACAGGTTATGATCTTTAGGGTCCATGTGAATGAATGGAACTATAATTAATCTAAATAAGAGTTAAACTTAACTAAAATGCAATCAAAAACATTCACTGAGATACAAGTTTCAGCCCTTAGTGAAACGTAAAGCCCGGTAAAAATGTGAGAACAGCTGTTGTGCTGAGAACCCAGAGGCAGAGGTCACAGTGTCAGAGTTGAACTGCAGGTTTGTGGTTTCCTCCCTGAAAAAACGCTTCCTTCTCCTCATCAACCAACAAGAATAAAACTTGAGAAAAGGCATCGGAGCAGATCAACAGGAAAAAAGGCGGACAGCCCTTCAGTTTTATTGTTTCATCTCTGAGCAAACACTTTTAGACTCTTGATCGGATTATCCTTTTAAATGTGACTTCTAGATATTAAAAAATTTGCACCTTTACAATAAAAAACTAATTTGAGCTCTGCTCTAAATCTGAATTGAATAAATCACAAAGGAAACCAAATTTTTTTTATTATTTTTTTTACTTCTTTTCGATTTCACCGCATTTCATTCATCTAATCTTTAATCTTTCTTCACTATGGAGCTAAATAGAATCCATAGTGTTTATTCAAAACATTTTCTTCAATAAAATGGAATAATAAATACATTTAGATGCTTAAAGATAATTTTAAGATGAAAGAAAAGATTTGAAACCAAGAAGAAAAATTCAAAACTTCTTTTAAAATTCACCTTTTTTTTTTTTTTTTTTATATATATATAGTTTTGGGACTTCGGTGATATATCGGCTACTCGATTTAATATCGAATTTTTAAAACAACAAATTTTTTTTACCTGAAAAAATGAAGAAAAATTGACTTCCTCTACACCCCCGCTCTTGTAGATGGCGCTGTGGATCACAACACCATATCCGTACAGAGGCAGCCACGGTATACGATATAGACTGTGTCTGAACTATAGACAGCCTATGGACTACAAATCCCATGATGCTTTGTGAGGAGAGCTCTCTTCGCAGAGCATTCCGGGATATATCTGCTCGTCTAGTGGCCGTGGATGATCACTACTTTTCGAGGTGCATTGTGGGAAATGTCGAGTGCACTACTTCTTCATCCACTAGACGCTTGGACACCCATCTAAAATGGTGTAATTACTATATAGTGCCCTATATAGTGATTAGGGCGGACGTTCGGACACAGCTGTGGACCGACTCAAACCCCAAACAACATGGATACCAAAATAACTGAAGGATCAAGATCTTCTGATGAACATTTACAGAACTTTTTTTTTTTTTTTT